ACTGTACCTCTTGTGTTCCTACGAATACTCCAGACCCTGCTCAAATGTCCACTTCGGGACAACAGGCTGGTGTTGCTCAGATGGACAATCCTAATCCTGGAACCTGTACAAATGTTTCCTACTTGGTGGAAGGGACTTGGCATGTGGGACTGAGAATTCCCGGGGGTGACTCTTGGAGTTGTCCTTTGAATCCTGAGGACCAGGAGAGGAGGAATTTTGTCCAGAAGTGGTTGATGTTGGGATAGACGCAGACTCTGGGGGCAGATTTCAAAGACAGAGGCAGGCCACAAGCCCTGCGTTGGAAGGAGCCTTCAGTGGTTCTCAACCTTCCTAAGGCTGCGACCCTTTAATACAGTTCCTTGTGTTGTGGTGACCCCCAACCATATGCCACCTCATAGCTGTAATTTTGCTACTGTTATTAATTGTAATGTAAACATCTGCTATGCAACACCCAAAAAGGAACGCAAACCACAGGTTGAGAACCACTGATGTAGAGGGTGAAACAGTCAAGGACATAGACTGTCTCTCAGCCTGCAAAAGAGACCAACACCTCCATTTTAGTCCCAGAAGTCCCATTTCTGACTTCTCTGAACTTCCTAAGACCACCATGTTTTAAGTACTGTGATGTGAGAGCTTCTTACAGCAGCCACAGGACATGCATACCCTCCTGAGGAAGGCTGCTAGCAGCACTGCGCCCCTCCCCTCCCCCACCCCCACTCTAAGCCTTTACCCTGCCCAGGAACACCCCAAGGCACATGGGCAGGAAGGGCCTGACCAGGAGCAAGGAGACTCTGGATGGAATGAGGGGATTGGGGCAGTTGGCAAGTCAGACTAGGTTAGGTGATGTACAAGGCAGCCAGGGACTGTGGGTGTCCTTGTTAACATCCCCTCTGCGTTTCCTAGGGTCCCTTGGACCTTCAGCTATGGTGCTGCGTCCTTGTCTCCCCCACCCAACTCTTCATTTTTCTGTCTGACTCTTCCACCCGTCTTCTGTCTCTGTCTCAGTCTATCTCTCTTTGTGTCTCTGCCTCATTTGTCTGTCTGTCCCTTCCTCGTCTATCTCAATCGGTGTCTCCTGTTTTCCCTCTGTAGCAGTCTCTTTCTCTCCCCTGTTGCTCCCCCATCTGTCTGCCTGCCTGCCTGGCCACCCTCCTGCCTGCCTGTCAATCTCTTTCTCTCTAATATGTGTGTCTCTGTCTTTGCTCCCCCTCTCTTTGGAATGCCACATCTGTGTCCTGTGGTTGCTGCAAGATGTTAAGGAACTGAAAAGGACCTCTCCACTGTTCTGGAAGCCCCAACCCTCAGAACAGGTGGCATCTTGGAGCTAATTCCTTTAGGGAGCTGATGGAGAATCTGTTTCTACTTTCTTCAGCTCTCAGGGGCTGTACCAGCAGTTGCCTCTGTCTTCATGTGACCCCTCCAGTGTGGCCTTGTCTTATCCTGATGATATCTGTGAGATCTACTTTTCTCCCTTGTTCTTGGCTGATGTGTATTAAAAAATACTGGTCAACCAGGGGCAGGTGCCTCTCTCTGGCCAACTGGGGACAGGTGCCTTTCCCTGACCAACTGGGGACAGTTGCCTTTCCCTGACCAACTGGGGACAGTTGCCTCTCCCTGGCCAACAGGGGACAAGTGCCTTTCCCTGACCAACTGGGGACAGTTGCCTCTCCCTGGCCAACTGGGGACAGGTGCCTCTCCCTGACCAACTGGGGACAGGTGCCTTTCCCTGGCCAACAGGGGACAGGTGCCTCTCCCTGACCAACTGGGGACAGGTGCCTTTCCCTGGCCAACAGGGGACAGGTGCCTCTCCCTGACCAACTGGGGACAGGTGCCTTTCCCTGGCCAACAGGGGACAGGTGCCTCTCCCTGACCAACTGGGGACAGGTGCCTTTCCCTGGCCAACAGGGGACAGGTGCCTCTCCCTGACCAACTGGGGACAGGTGCCTTTCCCTGGCCAACAGGGGACAGGTGCCTCTCCCTGACCAACTGGGGACAGGTGCCTTTCCCTGGCCAACAGGGGACAGGTGCCTCTCCCTGACCAACTGGGGACAGGTGCCTTTCCCTGACCAACTGGGGACAGGTGCCTTTCTCTGGCCAAATGGAGACAAGTGCCTTTCCCTGACCAACTGGGGACAGTTGCCTCTCCCTGGCCAACTGGGGACAGGTGCCTCTCCCTGACCAACTGGGGACAGGTGTCTTTCCCTTGCCAACTGGGGGCAAGTGCCTTTCCCTGACCAACTGGGGACAGTTGCCTCTCCCTGGCCAACTGGGGACAGGTGCCTCTCCCTGACCAACTGGGGACAGGTGTCTTTCTCTGGCCAACTGGGGGCAAGTGCCTTTCCCTGACTAACTGGGATCCCTGGCCAACAGGGGACAAGTGCCTTTCCCTGACCAACTGGGGACAGTTGCCTCTCCCTGGCCAACTGGGGACAGGTGCCTTTCCCTGGCCAACTGGGGACAGGTGCCTGGCCAACCAGGGACAGGTTCCTTTCCCTGGCAGGCACAGTCTCCCCCTTCTTCCCTCAGGTCTCTGAGGGACAGGTGCCTTTCCCTGGCAGGCACAGTCTCCCGTTTCTTCCCTCTGGTCTCTGTGTACATGTTACTTTGTCCATGCCTTTCTATGACCTGGTGATCCCACTACTCCTGGGTCTCCCTGGTCCCTGCATTCCTCTCCCAGTATGGTTGATTTTGCTACCTTCCTTAGCATATGCCAGCCTCCCTCCCTTGACAGGTGTCCTGGCCCACAGGGGTGGCCATTGGGTGCTACTGTCCATGGCTATCTCACACCCACAGGTGTCCTTGAGCTCTCAGCTTTGGGAAGCTCCTGTAGAGAGGAGGATGGAAAAGAGGCTGGGGTGACTGGACTGGGGCAGAGACAACGGGTAGCGGGAAGGAAGGGGTGGGCTGTGAGGATCTTGGGAAGGGCAGCCAGGGAAGACCCAGCTGCATTAGGCTGTGAGCTTATAAACAACCTTTGTTTCTACAGGGCTCTGGGCCGTGTGTATCGATTTCTGCTAATGGGGCCTCTCACTTCCCCTTTACCAATGAAAATCAATTCTCTGCGGTTTGGAGAGCAAATGTGCCCTGATTAGACAGCAGGCATGTGGTGTCATCTTTGTTCGCTTGCTCCAGTCCTCCTAGGGAGGCCTGAAGAAGCCAGACCCCAGATGGTTCCCAGGGATCCTAGCCCTGCTGGGCAAGCCTGAGAGTCAGAGGATGAGGAGTAGGCTGTCTCTTGTCCTGGCATAAGGGACCTCATGACCCTGAGGTTTATAAAGGACCTTGGGGACCTGTGACCACCAAGCCCAGTGATAGTAAACATGGCCATCTTCCTGGAGCTGCTTCACCTGAAGATCTGAGGGTTGGGTAGGGAGCGAGCACTACAGGAACAGTGAGCACAGACTATGAAAGCTCCTAGCCAGCGTGTGGATTATTTACGCTGAAGTGGCTCAATGTCTCACTTCAGCCCCAGAGCAGCCCCAGTCTCTCTATAGGCCAAGAGGAGGGAAGATGTGCTGCTGAGGCCACACAGCAAGTACAGGTGACAGGCAGCATCACGGCCAGGGGTCAAGCCCAGGCACCACTTGGTGCTGAGGTCTTAGGCAGAAACGTTGACCAAAGCCAGAGCCCCTATCCAGCCCAACTCCCCCAGTGCTCTTGGCATAGTCGGCAGTTCCCAAATATTTTAGATGTACTTTTATTATGTTTAATTTGTGTGTAGGTGTGTATCTGTGTGTGGGTGTGTATCTGTGTGTAGGTGTGTATCTGCGTGTGGGTTTGTGCTCCTGAGTGCAGATGCCCAAGGAGGACAAAAGCATCAGGTCACCCAGAGCTAAAGTCCCCCAGAGCTAAAGGACCTGGGAATCAAACTCAGGTCCTCTGGAAGAGCAGCAAGTGCTCTTAACTACTGAGCCAGCTCTCCAGCCCAAGTTCCCACACATTTTAATGAGTTGTCATAGGAAACCATTGTTCCTACACTTCAATGTAGAGGTGTTTCCACGGTCTGACGTATACATGAATCACAGCACAGGCCTCAGCATGTCTCCCTCTTGTTTCTAGAGGCCTTAGGGTTTCAGTGCTCAGAGAGCTATTGGGACCTTGCACCTGCTTCTCCTCACTTTAAGGCTGAGGAAAGGGGCTGGGAGGGACTTAATGGAGTTGGTGTGACGTTATTGGCATGTTCTCCCATGTTGAGCTCATGGGCTAGCTCCTGGTGGCACAGATCCTGGGATCTGACTCCCAGCAGGTACCAAGCTTGTCTCTGCTATCCTGTGGTCCTGTGCTCAAGGCAGGGGTCAGCCTGCACCTGGACGCTCCTGGTGAACCCGAGCTTTCAGAGTCAGCAACAGATGAGTGGATGAGAGCATAGGGACCTCAGCTCAATCAGTGACTGTGCTGAAAGGGCTGTGACCTGGCATCAGATGGGCCAGCATTTGAACCCTGTGTCTTCTGTTTGTCAGCTGAGTGGTCCCTCATGCAGGGCCCTATCCCTTTGGTGCCTAGCGCTCATCTATGAGATGAACAAAATGGAATAAATCTTCAGGGTTTTGTGGCACATCATAGAGATGGAAGGATCAAGAAGTTCAGATTTCTGAGTGGTGCAATGGTGGCACATGTCTTTAATCTCAGCACTCGGGAGCCAGAGACAGGTGGAGCTCTGAGTTCCAGGCTAGTCTGGCCTACAGAGTAATTTCCAGGCAGCCAGGTCTCACAGAGAAATTCTATCTTGAACCCACTTCCCACTCCACACCCCTCTCTACCCCCACAAAAACATTCTGACTTCTGGTTCTAACTCCAGATCTGGGCTATAGGCATGAGCAAACCTGTTATCTGCAAGGGAACCCAGGTCCCTCACTTGCACTTGGGGTGGAGACATGCTTCCCCTGGGAAGATGGAGAGGACAAAACTTGGTATCTCAGTTCTGCCAGTGTTGACACACCATGATGCTGTAAAGCCTACGCCTGGAGGACATGTACTGACAATTGTTTCTGTTCCTATAGGTCCTCAGATTTTGGGACAACATACACCAAGCTTTCTCTCCAGCCTGGTGTCACCACTGTCATTGACAACTTCTATATCTGCCCAGCCAACAAGAGAAAGGTATGTACATACCAGCCCAGGTTGGCCAACCCTTGGGATCTGTCTCTCCATGACTGCCTGTGCCACTGGTCTGGTTCTGCTTTAGAATCTTGGTCTGGTGTGAGGCATTTGTCCCTCAGCTCTTGTTGCTTTGGTTCATTTTGATGAGTGTATTTGAAGCCATCGGCTGGGCCTTTGGAGAAGAGCCTTCCTGCTTATCTAGGGCACATCCATCTTCCATGTCCTGGAGGCAACCTCCAGCAAACAGGCAGGGAGGAGAATCCGCAGAGCTGGTAACTGAATCAGATCCACCTGGCTCAGAGTCCTGGCGGCAGCTCCGAGGTCCTTCTCTAGGGTGCCATCTCTCTGGGGTTGGGTTGATTCCATGCCAGAGCATTGCTTGCTGTCTCTTGATCTTAGTTACCAGTTATTGCTTCCTGTCTAGATGTAGAGGAGAGAAGACCATGGTAAGGCACCTCCTGCAGATATGTGGCTGTTTCTTGGCCCATCTGGAGACCCCAGCATGAAGTCAGCATGCTGGACTAGATCTAAAGAATCAGTCTGAGGCCACAGGAGGGGACTCAGACAGAGCAGAGTTCAAATCCTGCTTCACTTCTCGGTGCTTTGGTTTTCCTGTAGGAAAAAGGGGTGTAGCCCACATCTTACAGAGGCTTGAGTGAATCCTTCATAGTGCTCCCTGCAAGATCAATATCTGGGTTCCAGAGGTACTTGGGTGGTGGCAAAAGAGAAATCCCAGCAGTTTGTTACTGGCCACTAGCCAAGCTGCTCATAGCTTGAAGGACAATGCTCACAAAATGAGATGGGACGGAAATGGAGTTTATTGAAGGCCTTGCCTTGAGAAGACAGGGTGCTCTCGTCTTCAGATTTCCATGCTAGAGGACTCACACATATAAGCAAGCTTTTATAGGGAGGGGGAGAGAGACATGGGGCAAATGGCATGAAGACTACATGCTGGGTGGTGGCTTTACCTATCCCATCACTGTTGTGCTGTCCCTACTCCCAGTGCCTCCCCATACATTCTGACCAGACTTTGTCATCAATCCTGGCCTCCTGGGATGCTTGTGTGCTTTGTGTTAGCTGATGCACAGATTTAAGGAGTAAGGAGGTCAAACAGGTCACCAAATGTTTCAGGTTCTAAAAGCTAAAGAAATGTCATTAGAAAGTAACCTATTAATAACATAGCCATGGCTTTGTGTTTGTTTGGTTGTTTGATGCTGGATAAAAAGAGGGGAAACAGCAATTCTGCCAAGGGCCAACCCCAGAGGTTCTTCCCTGTTAGAGTTTGAGGCCTGTGTTTGAGTATCCACAGAGGGCGTGGAAACACAGGACAGTACTACTATGGGAATGCACCATGTACTCTGGGGCCTATAGTATTGGTGAAGTTTCAGGGGCTCAGAGAGACAGTGGAGCCTGACCTGAGCAGGTCCCATTGATGGTCAGCCATGTGGGAGGACAGGAGCCTGCAGAGCCCTCCTTAGACTGCAGTAGAACTCAGCTGCTTGTGTAAGATTTAGTTTTATTTTGTTTTTCTATGTACAAATTTTTGCCTGCATGTATGTATGTGTACCATGTGTATACCTGGTGCCAATGGAGGCCGGAAAATGACATCAGATCCCTTGGAACTGGAGTTACAGGTGGTTAGGAGACGCCACATGAGTGCTTGGAACTGAACTCAGGTCTTCTGCAAAAACAGCAATGCTCTTGGCTCCAGTCCCCTCCACTGCTTTTTAATGGCTTGCCATCTTGTCTGCTAGAGCAGGACATCTGGTTTTGTATCTTCCTGTCCTTGACTTCTGGGACCGTGAAAGCTTTCTCCTGGATGGAAAGGGAACAGAGGTTGAGGGCTACTGCAGAAGACCAGGACTCCCTTGCCTTGGGGCTTTTCAGCTAGGGAGGAGGAGGGTGAGTTGGTGTTAGCTTTCCCTGCCTCTTCCTAGACCCCTCCCTCATGCCTCATACAGGCAATCTCACTCCATCCACAACTGTCCACACAATGAGGCATTGCTATCATATTTTCCAGGATAGAAAATGAAAAGGAATGGTGAGAGTTTACCCCATCACACACCTCATAGGGGGCCTGGGTCTGAAACAAGCTTCTCCTGAGTCTAAGCTGAGGAGGCAGGGCATTGTCCATGCTCAGGGAAGCTGTGGGGGCCTCTACCTGCCAGGAACCCTTAGTGCATGGAAGGAGCAGGGCAGACCCTTTGCCTCCATGCCTGCCATGGTCCTTCCTGTTGTAGTTGTGTGACAGAAGTGACCTTTGAAAGCCAGACTCAGTGAACAGGGCCATGTTCCCATTACTAGAGCAATTCCCAAGTCATATGTGTCCAGCTACCCCAGTGTTGGTGTCCAGTAAGGTGCCTACAGGGCAGCCTGCAGGCTGGGTCTATATTTGGAAGGAGGAGGACAGAGAAAGCTGGGGCAGAAAGAACCAAGAGAGCCTCAGATTCCTGAGGGTAGGGAAGACTTCCCAGAGAAATTGAGTGGGGAGCAGTGAGGTCACCCCTAAGATTCCTTCTTGGACTGGGACCTTGACCCCTCTGAGCCTCAGCGACAGCCCTAAAATAGAAAGCTGAGATGGGTAATGGAATATGGGCCCAGTAGAGAGTTCTGGAAAGGGCCTTCTTGTAGGCTTGCTCCCATTCAGGATTCTTGGCTTCTTTCTGCAGACCACTGAGATGGAAGATGAGGCAGTGGGCATTTGCAGTTTCAAAAGGACACAAAAATCAATTCTGCTAGGGAGGTATGATTTGAACACTTCCAGGTTCGCTGGGCTCCCTGCATCCGTGCAAACTCAATCCAGCCCAGCTCAGTTCCATGTTGCCAGGGGCAGGAAAATGGCAGGTCTTTGCCATATCCCAGGCACGGTCTGGCTGTTGGCTAATGTTATCTGGCATATCTTGGGTTCCACTCTGGGCCTCGTTTTCCCCATGTGTAAGTGAGGAATCCAAACTGAAGGCTGCACAAGCCCCTATCAGTTCTCTTGTCTTGACCTCAACTGGCCTCCTCCCAGAAACCCCATGGGCAGAATACTCACTGGGGAAGCAATCCCAACTTGGCTCTGTCTATACCTCAGCTATCTGTGACCTCTGCAGGAGGCAGCTGTGTCTCCATACTCCTCCTTGTCAGGTTCCAGGCAGTGTGCTCATAGATCCAGGCAAAGGTCTGACTGTTCGCCGGGCTGAACCCTGGTGCTGGAGACAGAATGCTTTGCCTAGGCCAGATACAGGCTGAGAATATACTGTGACCCCATTTTTTGCTGTGTCTAGGAAGCTGCATGCATAGCTAAAACTTTCTAGAGGGTGTTAAAGCCCTATACTGCAGGGCACCTGTGTGAGCCACTCCTGTTGTAGGGTAAATGGGTAGCTTTTCTGGAAAGTGGGAATCCAATTAAGAGATCATTTAGTAACAATTATAGACTGAGCGGTTCTTTTTGGCTTCTTAGGAGACCACTTTGTAAGCTGTCTTCAGAATGAGCTCTCTTTGATTTTGTCTTGCCTGCAGTGTAATCAGAGTGTGGCCCCAGGCATGGCTTTCTGCCACCTCAGACATAACTCTGGCCTATGACTTTCCCTTCTGAACTACTGTGGTTCCTACACTGGCTTTAGGTAGCAAATGCATCTCTGAATGCTCCCCAAGAGTACTAGAGCATGGAGAGGTGTGAAAGTCTGGTCTTGAGGGGCTGCCTAGTGAGAAGCTGCTTTTAAGTATCATGTCTTGCATTAAAATTTCATGTGGATTGTCATCTTATACAAGGTATCTATGTTGGATTGAATGCTAAAATCTCACACATACATTGTCACCAAGAAAATCCTTACTGAGTGGATGGTCTGGGAGAATGTGATTGCTGGGTCCCATGTCTACCCTATTGAGGCCCTCCCTGTCTTGGGGCCAGAGTTCCTCAGTTTTTCTTCACTTATCTTCCCCACTGCTGGGCTTGTGAAAAGCCATTTTCCAGTCTTGCAAGGTTGGGGACAAGTGGATCAAAGCCCTACATCTGGGAAGCTTCCTGCATCGTCAGGAGCCAGTACCTGCATTTTTCAGGCAAGTCAGTGGTGGCAGGGAAGGTAGTATCCCCTAGGACTTGGTTGCCAAGCAGACTGCTGTGTGGAACCTTGCATACATTTCCTGGCAGACCTCCAGGGCAAGGGTTCCTGCACTCATGTTTTACAGGAGAGAGGGAGAAGCCTAGGTGGGTCAAGAAACTTCCATGAGTCCACACAAGTGGGTCAAGACTGCCTCAGCCCCAGGTGCCCCATCAAACTTCATCCCCATAGGAACCCAAATAGTGGGAGGAGACCTGTGCAAAGGTCCAGATACAGAGCTACACATTAGCCACTGACAGCTACTGTGGATCCCAGTTCTGTGGATCTCCTGTGATGAAGTCACAAGGGATCCTCTAGCTCTATTGATCATCAGCTCTGTCACTGCCTGTGAATTCCTCTGGGCCCTTTTGAGCCATATGATGCTGTTGCTGGACTGTGTGTATGGGCCTGCCTGCTGCCTTTACTGGCTCCCCCCACACTGCTATCTTCTTTGCTAGTCTGTCTTTCTTCTCTACCCATCTCCCCCTAAGCTATTGTGAGTCTACAATGCTGAGCCCCTCTCTGGCCTTGTTCCTGTTCAACAACAGCATGAACCTCCTCCCTGCCCAAGCTCACAGAGGCCCAAATGGTAAATCAGCTTCTCCTTCTTCTCTACTCCGGTGAGGGCTAGAACAGTGTGTAATCTAAGATGAGCTCCGGCTCCGTGGCTATGGCAGCGCAGTCCTAATTCTGTGCTTGGAGAATACCCAAGACAGTCTGCCCCTCCAGTCACTTCAATCCAGTCAGAGCACAGCAGCCTGGTGTCTGTCTCTGACAGTGTGCAGGATCTGAGGATCCCAGATCTGACCCCAGTTCAGACTTAACTCAGATTGTCCTGGAAGTAGGTGGGTCCTCTTTCCTTCCCATACTGAAGTACATGTCTAGCTGTGCTGTCTGCTGCTTTGAGGTCGGTCC